CCAAAATTTTGTATTTGTTTATGTAATGTATTTAATTAATATAGATTTATTAATATTTAGTTTATCGTAATTTGTTATAAGCTTCTTTGAATTCGATGAATCAAGTTTAAATAAAAATTATTAAGGTTTAAAAAAAAAGCAACGTAGTGAAACTAAGAGAAAACTTTTTCAGCTCAGTTGGACAATTATTTTCGATACCTATATATATATATACTGTACAAAATGTCGATTGCAGACCCTTTTGCACTTTACATTTAGGTACTTATCTTCTTTTCTGTGGGCACCCAATATATATAGTTATTACTTTTATTTAATTAATTCATGAAACTTTAAAAAAAAAAATTTTTTTTAAACGTGTTTAAAATACAGGGTCTCAAGAATATTTCTGCTGAGTATGCTACAGAAAACCGCGGAGTGAGAAGTCCATTTGGCTTGTTAGCTTTTGTAGCGGAAAAGAGGTTTTGCCATTTATGGCGTACCGTTTGTAAAACACGTACAAGTTTTTAAATTAAAAAAATGTTAAGATACACACATTTTTATATTAAAATGCGTAAACATGTGTTATTTCTTTAAAAAAAAAGGAAAAAATGAAGAAGAAGAAGAAAAGGAAACAAAAGATAACAAATTTTTACACGACACATAACCATTTTCCCACTTTCCCTCATAAATTACAATTTAATTTGTTTTACCGTTGAAAAAAATAATTGTACATAAAAACAAACAAAAAAACATTAAATTATAAAATCATTTTATACTCGTGTAATATGTAAATACTTTTTCAAATCCGAATAATTTTTGTATTAGCATGAATTATACAATTTTTATCTAATGTTTGTTTAATTACAAAATTTTGCCAAAAATCGTACTTATTTTTTTTAAGAGAATAATTAAAAAAAGTTTTTGTAATTTATATCCCTGAATTTCAGAACGTTCTAAATCAAAGTATTACTTTCTTAAACATAACCTATAATTTATTGCTTTTTAGATGTACCTTTTTCCAAAGCGCGTCATTTTCATATTTTATTTTACAAAAAGCATAGTAACAAAATTAATGATGGAACAATTTTAACATAAAATACTAAAAAGTTGAAAAATTGTTTCAAAAAAAAAATAAAATCTATATTTTTTTATTTACATTTTTTGACCTGTAAAATTTATAATTTCACAGCATTCCATTGCAAATATAATCAAGTATTCAATCAAATATTTTCAAAACTTTAGCCTGACTATATATAAAATCTGTTATTAACATTTTTATACCATAATGAAAAAAAAATAATAATTAAATATTTTTACTCGAATTTTTAAATTTCTTTTATAAAAAAAATATATTATAAATTATATTATGGTCTTACAACAATGAACAATTAAATAGAAATAAAGACTCTCTACCCTCTTCTATCCGCTTATTACTAGTAAAATCACTTATTCTTCCTTTCTTTGATTATTGTTGTCATGTACACTACCGTCGGAAATTGTCGGTACGATTAACGTTCGAAGAGTGGAAATTCGGCGCTGACTTTAAAGCAAAATATTTCAAGTTAGAAAAAAGTTAGAGAATTCTAACTTAGACGGTTGGAAAGCTGATAAAATTCTGCTTCTGAATGTATATCAAGAAAAAAATTTTCTTTTTTTTTTGTATTTATAACACCGAAAAGATTTCAAGCAAAAATTATGCAATTTTCGTACTGTCGTACTAATGTTTTTGACTTCCGGCATAATCTAGAATAATGTATGGAAAAATTTGACAATTTTACAACATAATCTTTAAGATCTCAGCTTTAATTAGCATTTTTGAAACTTAAAAAATGTTTTGTGGTTCCTGAAATATGTTAAAAAAGGTCCGAGCATGTTTCTTGATATACATTCAGAAGCAGAATTCTATCAACTTTCCAACCATCTAAGTTAGAAGTCTCTAACTTTTTTCTAACTTAAAATATTATGCTTTAAAGTCAGCGCCGAATTTCCACTCCTCGAACGTTAATCGTACCGACAATTTCCGACGGTAGTGTATATGACAATATCATTTTTGAATTGAAAAATAAACTTAAAAGAGCTATAAACGCTTATATCAAATTTGTTTATAATGTACTGTTATATCCTACAATATTTTAATTATTTTATTTCCTTTATTTCTTTTATCTATTTACCTTTTTTATGTAAAATGTGAGAAGAACATTTTGTTTTTCTTCTTGCTTCTAGTCTTTATCATTTTCTTGATAAAGAATATATAAAGTCATGAGAAAATCAAATAAAGTTAACAAGATGTTTTTCTCAAATTTTACATATATTTATATATCTTAAGCCCAAAAATCAACAATAGTTGCCTACTTTTGATAAGTCATATTCTAAAAAGATTTCAAACTCCCGACCCTTGCACTAATAGATAAAATAACCAAGAGGGTCAGTGACGTGTGCAAGAGGGCAATGTACGAATGTTTGAATCATATACCTTTCTATTTTTATTTTAATTATATGTAAAATTAATATTTGTTGATTATTAATTGATAAATATACATTTATAAGTTATCAATTAATAAATAGGTATTCAATAACGATAAAATAAGAAATATGAAATATAAAATTTTACTTTTACCATAATTTATAATAATTAGTATTATTAAATAAAAAAATTGTTATAAAAATTGTTAAAATTAAAATCTTTCCTTTTCTTTAATATATTCTTTTTATAAATTCGAGTCTCCAAAAATGGGCCTGATAACATTATCTTTATCTAAAAAGTGGAGTGGAAATCATTCCCTTTAAAACCCAAGGGAAGTCCCATATTAGAAGTCAGTTAAAAAAATTCTTCAGTTCAGTTCAAACTCTTTAGTTCAAACTTTTTAGTCTAAAATAATCAAGTACAAAAAAATTCATTTCTAAAAAAAGACACAAATATAAAAAAATATTCTTCAAAAAAGTATCCAGTATTATCATTGATAAAAAATCTCAATTTTAAAGAATTTCATTTGTAAAATATTTTCAAATTAATATTAATATAAAAAAGGAATATATTCAAGGAAAGGAAAAGCTGATATTCAACATAACACTGTAAAACAACAATCAACAAAAAAATGAAAGTGACATAATAATAAAATTTATTTATCATTTCTTTTCTGTTTCTATTTTTTTTCCTGATAGTATTGGTACAATTAAAGTTGGACCCATACTATCAACATCACATTTTGAATAGGACCATTTTCAAATTTTGCCGATTCAATTTTAGTTGTATCGACAAAATTTAATACCTATAATTCTAATTTCCTTATTCTTCTCAAAGAAGATTCAAATCCAAAACTATTCCCAAGTTAGAGGACAATGTGTTCCTGACTTAAAACAATTAATTTAAATTCTTTGCTTTGTGCATCTTAGGATGTAACAGTACCTAAAACTGAGCATATATAATAAAATATAATTTTAAAATTCACCTATAAAATAACCTTATTTTTCGATTTTTATCCATTAATTGTAAGAAAGGGAAATTATTAAATGAAATAAAAACTTACCAAATATAAAGTACTTGTAATTAACTTTCAAATTTTTCTTAGCACTTGTTTTCGTTCCTCTTAATTAAAATATAAAATTAAGCAATTAAAATTAGCACTTTGTTGATTTTCACAATTTTTAAAAGTTAATAACTTTGTTACAGAAAAATAAAAAATTACGAAACTTGAAAAATATCTAAATGGTCACTAAATACACGCAATCCAAAAATTTCGCTTTGGAGGAAAAAGATACTTTTCGAGATAATAAAGTTTAAAAATTTCAATATTTTTATTAGGTTAATACATTTAATATTTATAATATTTATTTATATAATATAATATATTTATAAACTTCATCTTTATAAATATTACATGTATTAACCTAATAAAAAAAATTGAATGTTAATTACAAGTACTTTATATTTGGTAAGTTTTTATTTCATTTAATAATTTCCCTTTCTTACAATTAATGGATAAAAATCGAAAAATTAGGTTATTTTATAGGTGAATTTTAAAATTATATTTTATTTATTATTTCTTATCTTTAATTGCTTTTATTAATTTATAAAAATAAATTTTTTCATTTTTAATAAATTCCAATATTTCTTTTACATTTTCATGATAAATTATATCTTTTCTTTAATATTTTCTATTAATAGATGAAAAAGTGACAGTTTCCAGCACCTCATATACTTTAAATACATATTTTACAAAAAAATAATACAAATTTTAATAAAATTCTTTTTATTTCGTGATATTGACTCCTTTAAAATCATTTCTGCAAAGAATCATAATTTTTTAAAATTAGTCGGCAACGACATTAGTCGAAATATAATGGAATGACTCAATTATATTTATAATAATTAACATTTATATCAACAAAGTGCTAAATAAAGTATTATTTTCGAAACCTTGAAAATTTCTTAAAAACCTTGAAAAAACCTGGAAATAACCTTAAATTTTATCCGCGAGCTTTAGTTGCCAGCATGTTAATATTAAAGTTTATTTTATTTTAATTATTTATTGTTTTTGTTTATTTCAAATTTTATTGTAATTTAGTAAACTCCCTGAAGAGGAAATCATTTAGATTTCGAAACATTGGATTAAAACTTTATTAAAACAACAATGATTCGAATGTTATCGTTTTATTCATACGAAACCTTCTAATTCATTTGTATCATTATCATAAATTTCAACTGTAATATATGATGTATTTGTTCCTTAGTGGGCTTTCAGACCTAGGAACTTGAATTCAATGAAAAATAAATTATTAAATAAATAATACAATGATAAAAGAGCTCATGACCCAGTTGGTAATAATTTAAAAATAAACATTTTTGTAGAGAAAACAAAGCGTTGATAATCTTTGCAAAAAAAAAAAAATGAAAAAAAAATATTTTTTTTCTCCCCCTTATTATTTTCCTCGAAGGGTTAGCGCAATATTGAGAACAGTGAACATAAACGCTTCCCTGATTTTATCTGGTCCGTTAATTATAATAATCGATTGTGCTTCAGGGTACTGGCCATTTGGAGTGGTGTGGTGCAACGTGTACGTGACATGTGACGTGTTGGCTTGTTCCGCAAGCATCATGCACATGTGCTTCATTTCTCTGGGACGTTATCTCGGCATTCGAAATCCACTGAAAACAAGGCACATCTCAACAAAACGACTAGTTGGATTCAAGATCGCGCTCGTCTGGCTGTTGGCCATGCTAGTTTCCAGTTCCATTACAGTATTAGGTAAAGTAGATTTATTTTAAATTACTAATTCCCCTGGAATGCAACCAAGATGAGAGAAAATCACTTGCAAATTGCATACTCCTGTGTTTATTATCAATTAGATGGGCTTTTTAATTGCATTTTACCTGCGGGCAATATGCGCATTATTATTATTATTATTTTCTTTAGCCTCAAGGCTCATTTTCATTTAAAATTGGCTAATTAGAATCTTAAGATTTGATGAAATTATCATGACCGGCAAATATTTTTTGTCATTTATATTATTTAACTTCTGCCATTTTATATAAAATTTTTTTTTCTGATTTCGCTTTCCAAGAGTGGAAAATAATTTTTCTTTTGAAAATTTTAAAAGTATTTTACAATTTTTTTTAACATTAAAAAATAAAAAATTAAAATCTCTTTCAGTTCAATTTACAAAAATTGGACAAGTGCGAGTTGTAACTCGCACTGAAATCGATGATTCCGTACACGAAGTGAACTTATTTGGTATAATAACAAATGTTTAAAAATTATGTGTTCTATGTCAAATAATAATATAAGTGATACGAAGAAGAACAATTTTCTTAAATTTTTTTACAAAATTGTTCCTTTTTGTATCACTTAGGCCCTCTCCAGAATGGAGTTAAACGCAACGCAGACGCGACGCATCGCAATGCTAAGCAAATGGGGATGCGTCGCGTTTGCATTGCGTTTAGCTCCATTCTGGAAAGGGCCTTATATTATTATTTGACATACAACACATATTTTTTAAACATTTGTTTTTATACCAAATAAGTTCACTTCGTGTATTTAATTTTATTTCTACTAGCAATATTTTTATTGTATTTACATTTTAAAAATACATTGAATAGGTACTAAATTTTATCTTTCTAAGTCAAGAAAGTGATAAACCATAAGATATTGATAAAAGTCTAGTAGCTGGGTCAAATCATGCCTAAAAAATCAAAGTTGTCCCCTAGGTTTTCGATTTCGATGAAACTTTGGGAAAATGTAGTGAAATACATGCTAATGAAAAGTCCAAAAGCGATTTTTGAAAATTTTGGGATTTACAGGACTTTTAAAATTTTTTTTGAAATTTTGAAAAATTTGTATCTCAAAGAAAAACGAATCGATTTTAATGATTTTTTCAGGGAGTACGTATTATTAGCTAACAATTTAGAAAAAAAATTTACAAAAAAAAAATTTTTTTTTTAAACAAAAAAAATTAAAAATTATTGTTTAAACAAATTTTTCTTTGAGAAGCGTATCTTTAATTTTTTTCTAATACTGATATTTCGATTCCTTAGGATCTCACGAGTATTTTCATAAAAAAAAATCGATGGATACTTTTAAACTTTCCGAGATATTGCATTTTTTTGTCTTTTCGCGCAGCGGCCAACTGCGCTTTCAATGCTGGTCGTTGTATGCAAGCTGCTGTTCAAAACTACTAATAGCCCGTAAATCTTAACAGAATTGAATATTTCCTCTTGGCTAATGATCAGTGATAAATATAAGAGAAATCGGGTCGTTTTTATTGCTTAATTATTAATTATTTATATTTTTAAATAAACAACTAACACATATTTATTGAATTCTTTAAAATTTTATTTTTTTACGAAATGTAACAACAAAAACAATTGATAAACTATCCAAATGATTTAAACTTTGTTTTAAGGATAAATCCATTTTATTTACATTAAAAAAAAATTGTTATAAACAATTATTTTAAACAAATTTTTTTTAAATTTTATATATTTTTTTTAGAAATTTTACTGCTCTTATATAAAAATTTTAATAATTTCCCTAATCTATCAACTTACTATAAAATTGTTTTTCATGATAAAAAAATTGTTATAAATAATTTTATATAAAAATTAAATTAACTTTTGTCCTCATTTACAAAGTTATCAAGAATATTGTGCATAGTAAGTGATCGAAATTATAAGTGACATAAATTTTTACATCATCAAACAATTATTTCAAGGAATTATCTCTAAATAAAATATGAGTTTAGTCAATAATACAACTTAATAAAACTAAACAAGAAAAAAGTTATTATTTACTAAATATCTATGTAACTAAATTTTATTTACTAGTTATAATCACAAAAACTACAAAACAACATTTTATTTAATTCTATCCATACTTTTTGAAATTATATTGATCCTTTGTTATTAATTAGTTTAGTTGTAATGTTAGATTGACGTGAGGATCAAATAAAGTGTTGGAAAACTGACATTAGTAAAGGCTTACATATTTTGGAAATACGTCTTACATATTTGTAATTATATTTATTTTAAGAGCGCTACTATAGTCTTCCGATTATAAATTAAGAGGGAATTTTATTTAGAAAATCCGAGAAAGGTCAATAGAATTCGCGAAAGAATGAGAAAAGAGAGGGCAGTTCTTGATTAGATTTTGACGAAGACACAAGTGTGTCATGAAAGACTGTAATTGAAGTTAAAAGTAATAAATTTATTAATTTATTAATTATTAATTAATTTATTAATTTGTTTTTATTTACTTACTGCAGTTCCTAACTTAGATTTAACATAAAGAAACTTTTTTCTTTTTATAAAATTGTCATACGTTTCTGCTCATATGGGAGCCCCATCATACGAAACTGAAGTACGCAACGTTTATGATAAATGATTTTTAAAGAAATAATTTTTTAAAATGAAAAATTCTATAATTTTTTGCCAAAAAAATATATTTTTTTATAAATTGTTGATTAATGAAAACTACAAGAAATATTTTTAATGCAAAAAATTATAGAATTTTTTATTTTAAAAAATTATTTCATTAAAAATCGTTTATCACAAACGTAGCGTACTTCAGTTTCGTTTCATTATCAATTTAAAAATTAATTTACAATAATAATTTTATTAACACTAAAAAGCAATTATTAGGTAATTTAATTATATTGAAATTTAAAAATGATTTAAAAATATTTATTTATTTAAGTTTATTAATTGTAAAATTCAGTTACGTTACAGTTCAAATATTATCTATTACATATTGAAAACAATGAATTTCTGAAATTAAATTATTAAAGTTCTATATTATTAGTTTAATGTGTATAGTATCCCGATTTTAATCGTCAAAATTGGTATTTAAACTTATTGGTCGAAATTTCCTTTTGCATATTTGAAATAATTTATTTAAAGAGAATGTTTGATAAAATTTTTTTTTTCGTGTAGTAAATTATTTTTATCATAATAATATGTTGTTGTTGACATTGTTGGCAAATTCAAACAAATAATATATTGACATAATTCCAATGAAAACGTTGATTATTATTAATACGTATATTATGAGATTACAAGCGCGTGTGTTTACTAACATTTCCATGTATAACAATAAATATATTTTACAATAATTAATTTCAATTATTCTTATGAGATGCATTATTGTTTATGTCATTTCTATATAATAGGGGAGAGTGGGTCAAAGCCGCCATGTAGGGCAAAGGTGATTTCAAAATATATTCATTTTTTCTAATTTATTTCAATTTTCGTTTACAGTGTATTGTTAATATGATTAAAGCAATTGATTAGAAAAGAAAAAGCTCAAAAATATTAAGTATTCGATGAAATATTATATAAAAGTAGTTTTTACAAGGAAGGGATAAAAATTTCGTTGATCGAAGATTCAAATTTAAAAAATGGTTTTAAGCACTTATGTTTTAAAAACTTTTTGTTTGAATAAATTAAACATATATCTACACGATCTGCATAAAATTTAAGTTCATTTTTTTATTTAAATAATTTAAATTTAAAAAATTAATGTCAAATAAATGTTGACCTTCTTTTTTACCAAAACATGTCTCTTTATTGGTAATTATTTATTATTGTTTATATTTTGAATATAAATATGTATTTTTTATAACTGTGATTATATTTACTTTATTTTATTAACTTTAAAAAAATTATAAATTTTTGGTAAATATATAAAATCAACATTAATATTTCATTATATTTTCGCATGGTTATTTAAATTGTTTTTCAATTTAAATATAGGTAGAAGGTAAAGTACACGGAAAAAAATTTTCTGTAGAATTTACAGAAACTCCTGCGTCATCTACTGATGTTTCTCCAAATAGAGAAATATGTAGAATCATTGGCATTAAAATCTGTTAATTCTACAAGTTTGAGCTACAGTTCTTAAAAACTGTTGAGTGACCAAATTATGTATACTATATGGGGATAATATATATTTGGTAGAGTATTTCTTATAGGTTATATTCTCCTCCGAATACATTAAATTCGCGGAACATTATTGTTTAAATTAGTATAACTTCTATGTAAATAAATTCATCCTTCAATAATTTTCTAACAAAAAAAATGAGGAGCAAGTTTTCAAAACTTATGATAAATCCACTTTTTCTTATGTCGAGAAATTGAAACAAACGACTTTTCTCACTTAATCACTACAGTTAATTTTAAAATAAAAAATTTGTAATAATTTATTTCTATAATAATGTTTATATACTTAAGACGTTTCCTTTTTAATTAAATTTTCTTGACGACGCTATGATAATAATAAAAACACTAAATTCGCCTTAACCTCTCGCACTCAATCGTACTCAGCCTTAGTCGAATCACTGCATTGTTTTTGCGCATGCGTTAAATCCTTGCAGAAAATATCTGTAGAATTAACAGATTTAGGAACATGTAAAATCTCTAAATCGACGTTAAAGAATTACCAGAAAATTTTTTTAGGTCCGTTAACCTGGCTTGTCCACATTGTCCGATCTAGATAAAACCTATTTGAAAATTAAGGGCTAATTTAAGGCTAATTTAATGCCCTAATGACGAATTTAATGCTCGGCATTTTCTTTAAAAAACTTGTGGACAAGCTAGCTTAACATTAAGGTGGCTTGTCCACACAATGAAGGAGCACTCGTAGGAAGGTCTACTATAGCTCAAAATTTAGGGCTTTTTTAAGGCTCTTGAATGCTGTATTGTGGAATTTAATGCCGGCATTATTTCGCGAATTATTTGCAAAAATTCAATTTTTAC